TCTATTACTCATAATTCCATGGATCTAAATGGTAACTTTTTTGATTTAAGAGTTTTGCAGCTAATGTCTATAAATCCTCTTTTATGTTACATAAATATCACTCTTGGATTATAGACGTTTTAATTTTTGAAAAACAAACAACACCTTAACATTTTGTCTAGGTTTAGGTTTACAATGTTAGCTCCACCGGGAACTATTTAGTTGGCCAAGCCATAACGTGACATTATCCCAACGAATAATATTTAGGGATACCTCATATTTTTGTAAAAACTCCCACGTATATATGTCACTCGGCATTCAATTTGATATATTATATATATATATATATATATATATATATATATATATATATATATTCAGATTCATTTGAAACCATACTAATTTTGTGAAACCGTGCGACCAAATGTAAAGATATTTTTAAAATGTAAAATAAAAGGAGAAATCCTAGAATGTTGAATGTTGAAAGATGAATTAAACCCTAGAAATGGAAACGTCAGCGATATATATCCAAGATTTTTGAACAGAAATTGTGAGATTTGGAGAAATACAGAGATAATGAATGAATCGGGTCAGAATAGCTTAAGAATAGGGGATAAGAGATTTAACCTTTTCAACTGTTTGACCATATGTACTCTACTCTTTTTGTAATGGATAAATTGATTGTACAAATGCATTGTATGCTTGTACGATTTAAAATTCAACGTTTGACCAAAAATGTTTTATAAGGTAATTAAGATATATATATATATATATATATATATATATATATATATATATATATATATATATATATATATATTATATATAATATATATATATATATATATATATATATATAGTGATACCTCATTATTTTGTAAGAACTCTCAAGTATATATGTTACTTAGCATTCAATTTGATGAAAACATAAAAATATAAACTTTTAGTGGTGATGAAAAAATAATAACATAAAGTTTTTACTGTTAAAATATAAAAGTTTAAATTTAAAGAAACACATCAAACAAGGGGAACGATGGCAACATTGAATTCGAGGCCTCAAGTCAAGGGCTAGGGTTTGTGAAGAAAGGTGTGTTAGCACAAGAAGACAAATAAGTGAATTTAACATAATTTAAATTATGAGAAGAACGATATCACATTTTCTATAAAAATAAAAAAAAGGCTACGATGTTGATGTCTTTCAAATATTACTTTTAGATAATAGGACATATAAACTGATTTATTTTTTAAGTTTATTGTAATTTAATATTAGATAAAATAACAAAAATAATTTATAAATGAGCTTTTTAATAAACTAGTTTATAATGTTTAAAGCTGATTTTTTTTAGTTAGCCCCAAACACAATACAAACTAGTATCTTTAAACCGTTACCTCTGATATTATGGCGGGAAAACCAAATGCGACAAGAAAGAGCATAAACTATAATTAACTTCATTAATAATATATTAATGATAATAATAATGATTAACAAGCACTTAAATAATAATAATAATAATAAAAAAAGAAACAAAGAAAAAAAGTACAAAAAGTCTAAAAAGCCCCCGTACACCATAAACAGCGAAACATGGTTTCGTCCTCTTTACCTTTTATCAATCAAGCGCATTCGGGCCAGTACAGTAATTTACCACATGATTCCACACCCACTGCACCAAGAACCTCCGTCGGATCCCATGCATATTATACGTGGCACCATCTTCATCGTTCAACATCTGCCCAGTGTAGGACCCACCACCACCGGTCCCGTAAATACCCTCACATAGATCGGCGATCTCCACCGGAAACGACGGGTCTTCACCGGCGTACCAGGCGTTCGCCAACGGGTTCGAAGCTACCTCCGCAATCTCGTGAGCTATCACACTAATCATCCCGTCGATCGCCGCCTCACCATTGGGCGATTTCAGAGGTTTCAAACCAGGGATATAATCAGGTACAGAGAAAGGGTATGCACACATACCTGGGCATAATTTTGCAGAATTTCCGACCCACGCGTACGGCAGCGTGTACCCAACAATCGAAGGGAATGTAAAGTAGTGGAACCCACAGACATTTTTTGCAGAAATCCTCGACGTATACGTCATCGGCGGTGAGTAAAAGGTATACACCGCCTTTCGGATGAATCGGTAAGGGTTTTGTTTTCGCCGTGACGGCGGATTTTATCACCGATTGTATGGATAGACGGGTTAGGGTTTTCCCATGAGATAACAACCGGTCGTTTTTCTCTTGCCCAAGCCGGACCGACCGGGTGATGTTGGAACCGGTTTGGTCTGTGTAGAGCTGGACGGTTTTCCACCAACCAGAAACAGACGGCGAGCGGTGGTCGGCGGCGGCTGATATTGAGTTGATGAACTCGCGGATGATTCGTTTCTGGGCGCTTGGCCAAGCTCCGTACCAGATAATGTGCACGGTGATGTTAGATGTAAGAACTGGTCCCATGTGATATTTTAATTTGACGAACTCCGACGACCCTTCGTACTTTTTATAGCCTCCGAATTCGAGCTCCGTGACGTTGTTTTTCATACGGGGCAAGGGGCGCCATGCCGTAGAAAGACGAAGGAAGCAGAAGAAGAAGAAGAAGAAGAAGAGTAGTGATAGGGTGTGAAGCGATGGCGCCATTGACCGGCGGTTGCCGCTCAGTTTTTTTAGTAGAGTGGTTGATGAAAAGTGGCACAGATACATGGATGGTGAGGCGGTGTTTGCATATATACATAGAGGACAGTTTATTTGAATGTGCGTACTAAAATTGGGTAAATTACAAATGACCGCCCTTAACCTTAAATATGCTAAAATTTCGTCCTTCTTATTTGTTAAATGGTTCTTTCACGGGTTAAGCACTATAATAATCATTTATTTCACAAAGTAATCATTAATACTATAAAAATAAATTTTCAAATTTCTCTTTTAGAAAAGGCTTTACAACCGAGCTTCTACAATTTTATTTTTTTAAATCATTAATTTTCTATTATTTTTCAGAAATAGCAACACTCTTCACTATTTTGGCAAAATAGCTACTTATACGGATTTGACTAGCGCTTTGTAATATGTAAATGCTCGTGATTTTAATGTCTAAAGATATACAAAGTTTATCAACTTAATAGAATAAATCTAAGAAACATATAGGACGGGTGCAGCAATTCGGGACTGAGTTGCAATGATTGGTATTGTCATAAAGTTAATTGAAAGCTACGTCGAATTGTTTCAAGTTCACATAGAAACTGTTTGGTTTTACCATACTAGAGTCACAAGTATATATGTGTCTTCCATAGAGGAAAATATGTAATGTGACTTTGAACACTAATATGCAACTTCCTACGATTTTCATTAATGATAGTATTTTTTAGTTTCATGACTTAAATTAAAGCGATACAAAATGATAGAAAAACATTATAAATCTATTACATGGTCATTACAAACTTAATATTCAGGCCACACAACGGGACATTATAACAAATACCTTGTCTCTTCGCGGTTAAGAAACACCATCTAATTCTAACATCTTCAAGAAGGTCTTGTTCTGCCAGAAGATCATCAATCTCCTCATCCAAATGTCAACAAAGCCTAACGAGATGGGGGTAGCCACCCTCACCATAACCCTCGAAATCCCCATTTTCTAGCTCCGACCACGATCTTGATGGGTTTTATTCATAACAAAATCATATTTTTGGTGGAAAAATATAATCATAAGTTTGCATACACCCTAAGGATCTATATTCTCACTATGATTTGTAAACAACAATTTGAATTCAAGAAACCCTAAAGTACATTGTTATTTTCGAAATTGAGAAAGGTTATTAGAAAAACATACATTTTGATTTATTGTTGTAAATAAACTTGAATTTATTCTTTGTAAAACTTCGGAAAACTAGCATTAGAAATTTCGTGCCTCTGATGGCTCACACCCACAACCAAAAGTTTGAGGCTATTGAAGAGAGAGAAAATGGGATAGGATTTTCAGCTCTTCCTTGGTATATGGGTAGCCAAAAATATAAAGGTCTTGAAGGGTTTATATAGGTGAACAATGAGGCTTGGATAAGGCATATGTATGATGTTCAAAGTATGATAATATGAACATAAAATTTGATACCAAAACATTAAACTAGATTTCATAAAATGTAACTTAAGAAAGTCAAATCCAAATTAAAATATTTGATTAAAAATGCATATACTAAACTAGTGAATGAATGTTAGTGTATCAGAGTGGATAACATGATCAATCACTTCATTGGGTGTTTCAAATTCAAGTAAAGGCAATAGAGGCTGAACCATGTCATTGGTATGCAACTTGATACATTACAGATGTGAAATAAATATTACCCAAATGGTCAAAGTTTAGAAATTCTACCGTGACATCCCAAATTTACGTCAATTAATTTTTTTTTTTCTTTATGCTTATTTAAAACAGAGTATTCTTTAAAAATAATACATTAATGTGGAATTTGTCCTAAAACATTATTTTGATGTGAGATAATATCAATATCAAAGCATTTTCAAATAAATGGTTTTCATTAATATTTAAAATCTTGTGATGTCATAACCGATACAAAAATATAAGCATAAACTAGTATTTACAGGCCTTACAAAATTTTATTTAATGACCTTAAAACTCCTTAAATCCCTCGACGGATTCATACAACAATATTCTTGTACATTCATACCGTTACCTGTGATATAAAAAACTGAGTCGGTCAAGCTTGGTAGGCCGATGAACACATGAGGTTTTCAACCTACAATAATATAATTAAATCTTATATATATATATATATATATATATATATATATATATATATATATATATATATATATTACACCAAACAAATAACCCGATTACTCATTCTCATTATTTTCACTCTTTGATAATTTGCCGATCTTAAGGGACCTATCCTAAAGGATCATTGGAAGTAATGACTAGACAATAATACTTCGGGGATTCTATCAATATATATATATATATATATATATATATATATATATATATATATATATATATATATATATATATATATATATATATATATGTTAGTAAGGTAACCACGAGGAGGATAGAGTACTTGAATGAGCACATGCTCCATACTCCCGGATTGTATGATTCATTAACACCTATAGATTGTGAGTTTGCTAGTTTTCCACTGGACTGTTTAGAAGAGTATGTGGTCGTCATTAATACTCTACTAGATAACTGGTCTAATTAGTACAATAGTACAATGTTAGGCGTTATCTCTCATTATTATTTTATTTCTGGCATTATTATTTTATCTCTGACATAGTCTCTCGCTATTATTTTATCTCTTTCTCAACCATTTTCTACCAAATATTTTATAAATACGATAAAATAAATATACGATTAAATCAAGTAAAGTATGTCATTTATTGCATCTAACATAGATATCAAGAACACAGATAATAAACACATATATCATTTAATTATCTACTACTTTGTATTTATGTGTAATATGAAAGTAATTATGCACTTACTTTTTAAAAGTAGATGACTGTTGATTTAGGTAGAGCTTTGGCTAACACCTTAGTTTTTCCTTTTAAAATACATAGATATAAGTATCATTAAGTCTTAGTATTTGTTCATAACTATCGCGACTATAATAATGATAGTCTAGATTTCCCAGCAATCCTAATGGATATTGATCTATAGCTGATAAGAAATAAGCAGGTAAGATCATATCGTAGGTAGGATCCATTTGGTATGTAGGGGTATAGCTTCTGGAGATCTCACTTTAAACACTCATTAAATCTAGCCTAGACATTAGCCCCGTGAGTAGATCAATCAATATTATGACCAGAATCACTAATAAAACTTATTTATAGGTCCATAATAGCGATTATGATTTATAAATATAAATATAAGTTACACTTAAAGCAAAATAGGTGTAGCTTAACTTACAGAATTTCCTGACAGAAGTCTGGAAAATTCGCAGGAAAAACTCTGACCGAGAGATTTTATTTTTTGGGCTCTCTGATGACCCAAAGCTCCGCTAAAATACCCTATAACTAGAAATATTTGAACTCAAAATCTCAAAACATTAAGAAGGAGTTTGGAATTGGGTGTGAGAAGTGAAGTGTTGATCAATCTATTTATAGGTTGAGTTTTTGGCTATGCGCGTCGTGCTTAGAAGAGGGGCGTGTCGTGCCCTGGCTTGGTCGGCAAGGGTTCCTCTAGAAATTTGACATGTGGCACTCATTGTGGGGATTGATGTCGTAATGTTGGGACAATTTTTCGGATTTTCAAAAATTCATCTCTCTCCCATACAAGCTTTGTTTTCGATGTTCTTTATATCCACACGTAGGTCTTTTTGGGTACAACTTTCATTTAGACTATGTCAGCTAATTCTTGGTCTATTTTAAATTTAATAGTCTATAAAGATTACACTACAAAAGACCATGTAAAATTCGTAACTTATTCATACGGACTCCATTCTCGACTGTTTTTATATCCACAAGTTCTGGTTCTCGAGATCTTCAACTCTTGTTTACATCGTTTTAGCTAACAATCAACTGATTTTAATTTTGATTTATGTGTCCACACTGCTATGCTGTAACTTTGGAAAATCATAATTTCCTCATCTAAAGTCAGATTTGAATGTTCTCTATATGCACACTCTCACTTTTACAATTACTAAGACTTTCATTTATATTACTTAGGCTAAAAAGCAACATATATTTGATTCACTATTTACGACACACTCTGTCATATAGGGCTAAACGCGAAACTTAAAGAGATCATGACTTCTTCATACAAGGTCAAATTTATGCATTCCTTATATCCACGGAATTGTAATTACGAACACTGCATATCTAGTTAAGGTTATTCATTCTAGGTAACCTTATAATTAATATGTTATTATCACTTATTGCATTTTAAATGTCTAGCCCGTATTTGCGGGCATTACATATAATGATTCATTGTTTCTTTTACATGATCACATGGTATATCACAACTTCAATATTTCCTAAATACATATTACGTAGAGTTAGAAAACCATTGTTTATATCATCTTTTACTTCAAAGTTGAAGTTGGAGTTGTATTGTACCCACCAATTTAGACATACGTGAATCCTCCTTTGAAGCCCTATATATGTGTAAGGAGTGAATTCACCATCAAGGCCCCTTCAAAAAAATATTTGGATTGTTGTCATTCAGCCTAAACTGTACATTAGGGGTAGGGTACAATGATTTCTATCCATGTTAATTGCCATGAACATTATGTGTATGTGGTTCCCTTTTGTAGTGGACACTATGTAACGATCCAAAAATCACGACTAAAAATATATTTTAAAACATTACTAAAATCATATTTATAAAAAAAAATTGCATCATAAGTTATAACATAATTTCTGAGTATTAATCCAAAATATAATCTTATTATCAGAGTAAACATTCTCAGGCTAAATGACTATGGTGTGTGCACTGCAACCTCTCCGAGCTCCTCTTTTGAAAACTGTGAACCTGAAACCAAAAACTGAAACCGTAAGCACGAAGCTTAGTGAGCTCCCTCAAACTACCACATACCATACCATAACATATAAAGCACATATTGGCCTTGCCTACTGCATCGGATCGAGGTCCGGACTAACTGGGGTCTTGCCCCCTGCATCGGACCAAAGTCCGGAAACTGACTGGGACCTTGTCCCTTGCATCGGACTGAAGTCCGGACTAACTGGGGTCT